CAGAGACCACCCTACTGTGGGGACAGACAGGCTCCATGGGCACCAGCCTCCCCAAGGCTCATGAGCACAGAGCAGGGATGTTTTCCCCAGGAGGACTCTTGCAGACAGAGGCAGAGACCACCCTACTGTGGGGACAGATAGGCTCCATGGGCACCAGCCTCCCCAAGGCTCATGAGCACAGAGCAGCTGGCCAGAGCTGACCCGGCCTGGAGTCAGTGGCTGCCTGGCGGGTTCCTGTCACCCAGGCAAGGGGACCCCTGCTCACTGCCTCTGGCACAGAGATGCCCCTAAGGGCAGTGTTCACCAGCAAGGGGACCAGCACCAAAAGGGCTGCAGCCAGGCCCTCCCCTCCACCCCTGCTCTCTGGGGATGGAGCGCCCCGTCAGCTCAAGACCCCGAGGAAGCTACCTGGGGTGGGTGGGGCAGGGCTTCCCAGGGCCCCAGGTCTTCCCTGATGGCACCGTCACCCCAGCACTAGCACAAGGCAGAGGAGACAGGCGAGAGTTCCCAGATGCCACCCAACTGAGTGACTCAGGAGCTCCATCCACCCTGTCAAAGCTGGGCATAAACTCCCTGCCCCCGCCACCAAAGCAGCCAGCTCCAAGCCACCAGGGCCCTTCCTCACCTGCCTTGGCCCATTCTGTGAACTTGGGGGTTTCCGAAGCCCCCTGGATGGAAGGAGCAGAAAGTGAGGGGTCAGGGGCCCAGGGTCAGAGGCCCAGGGCCCCCACTCAGCCTGCTGCCCCCAGACCCTCATGCGTGAGCTGCGTTAAGCTCTGACTTCCTGCTGGTCACCTGTTCTGAACCCGCCCAGCTCCAGCGGGGGAGCAATACCAGGTGGGCCCTGACAGGGGGGTCCCACAGTGACCATGAGCCAGTGACACTGTGGCCTGGGGTGGGGGTGGCCACACACAGTAGCCTCCATCCTGCCTCCCTGGTCTGGGGACAATCGCCACTGACCTCATGTGACCCAACTGGGTGCCATATCCCCCCACCCCCAAAACAAGGCTGACCAATCCTGTCACAGCAGCCAGTGTGTAGACCCCTGAGGGTGTGCACAGGTCCCTGAGGGCAGAGGTCCCAGGACCAGCTGACTCCACAAGTGAAGGGCTGGGCAGGAGGAGGTGCTGGTGTAGGCCTGCCCCTCCCTCTATGGGCTAAGCACCCAGGACAGCAGGCTGAGACCTCCGGTTCCCCTGCCGTGCCCACAGCAAGGCACCTCCCTGTGACCTTGGGCCACCAGGCATCCCCCCGGGTGGCGTCCCCTGCAGCCCCAGGCAGGGCCCGAGGTGGCTTCCTGGGAACACGGTAGGACCTTCAGCTGATTCACAGCCCCCTGCACAAACACACAATGGCAGATGCCCTCTGCCACTCAGGGCTTTTGTTGGAGGACGGCCTATCTGTGCCACTCTATGATTAGTTGTAAATCCCTGGGGATTTGGGGTTTAGGGTCAACAAACATCCAATCTGAGACGAGCCCTTTGTCTCTTCAGTCAATCCAGCAGCTCACCCCTGGCTTATCTTCCTGCCGAGCCTCTTCCCTTCCAAATGTCACCCGTCTCCAGTCAACTTCCCACCCTGCCCCTGAGCTAGCCTGGGGTGGGGGTGGGGGGTTGGCCCTTTCAGTCCTGACCCATCACCCCAGTGCCACAGGCTTGAGGAGGGGGCTGTGGGAGTAGACCCGAGGCTCCAGAGGACCCTCTCTGTGCATGTGGGAGCTCCAGGAAGACCTGGGCCCTTGCCAACTGGGAGGAGCCGGGAGGGCTGGCTGGGCTGCCGTGAGGAGGGACCAGCAGGTCCAGGGAAATGGAGGTTCCAGGGCAGGGCAGCTGGAGGGTAACACCTGCACCCTCCCTCCCTCCACGTCTCTCCTCCCAGAATGTGGGGACTCAGGCACACAGACCCTGACTCAGATGGGGGCTCCTCAGAGCCAGGATGGGGATCTGCTGCAGCCAAGGTTTGAGGACCAACTGCTAGAGGCAGCCTCCCTCCCAGGAAGCAGAAGCTGCAGATTTCAGCAGGGACAGTGCTGGACAGCTCCCCAGCTGGTGCGCGAGCTTGCTGCCCCTCAGGCCTCCACGCCTCAGGAGCGGGGTGCAGGGCCCTCTCTCTCCTGATCCTGAAGGTCGGCGGGGTGCCCCCACTGCTGGCATGGACCAACCAGGGGCTCTCTGTGCAGAGTGTGCCAGGGTCCAGGGCTGCCTGGCCCCCTGGGTGCCAAGCTTCCATGTGCTCCAGGGACACACTCAGTAGGCTGGCCCCTGGCTGTAGGGGCTCCCAATCCTGGCTTCCCTACCCCATGCATGAAGGTGGTGGGCTTGAAGAGTGACCTCTTCTTCCAGGTGACTACAGTCCTGGCCAGACAGTCTCACTCGAAATGTATGTGCATTTGGCAGAAGCATCTGCGCACCAAGCATGAGCCCCAATCTGCAGACAGGGGGCACAGCCCACCACCTCAGCAGTCCAACACCAGGCAGGAAGACAGGCACCCTTGCGGGGTAGCCACACATCGGCCATGCCAGGTGATACATGGCGCAGGAGGCCATAGGCCAGGTGCTTTGGCAGAGCAGTTCTGTGAAGACAGGAGCTGGGGCCAGTTGCCCTGGACACTGGGCCGGGCAGGAAGACAGGCACCCTTGCGGGGTAGCCACACATCGGCCATGCCAGGTGATACATGGCACAGGAGGCCATAGGCCACGTGCTTTGGCAGAGCAGTTCTGTGAAGACAGGAGCTGGGGCCAGTTGCCCTGGACACTGGGCCATCTGGGGTGGTAGGGCTGCCCCACCCCAGCTCTGAGCTCCAGGACCATGCAGTCACTGCTGCATCTGGCTGTCCTTCAGTGTCCAGGACAGTGACTGCCAGTGAACACTTGAACTCGGACTGGATGAAAAGAGCCCCCGCACCCTAGAGGGTGAGGCCAGGCCCGGGGCTGGGAGCCAGCAGGGACATAAGGAAGGACTGTCACACACCCAGTGTCTGGCAGAAGTGGCCTGAGGAGCTGACACATGAGGCCTGAGCACCATGAGGGGGCAGGTCTTTCCCAGACCCCAGCCTAGGTCGTGCCTTGCTCCTCACGCCCTGGCCGGGGCAGAGCCAGTGCCCAGTGAGCAACCAGCCAGCACCTTCTTCCCTGCCTAGCCCCCCACCCCACTGGGTTTTGGAACACAATGCCCCCCACTTCCATGGCAGAGCTAAAACAGGCCCCACCCCTCCTGCATGGCATCTACCCCTCTGAGACTGGACCTGCAGGTGTGTGTCATGGGGTGAATGTTCCAGAATCTGTGGCTCAGATATCCACAGGCAGGGCCAAGGCCATGTTTTGCTGTGTGCCCCACACCCAGCCCGGTGCTGGCTGCACAGGTGCCCACGTGTGACGATGGATAAACTGAGGCCATGCCTGTACCCACTACTGTGCCAGGGTCAGGGGTCAAGTAGGAGGAGGGGGGTCGGCCTCATTACAGTCACCATGGCTCTCCAAGTGGGTCGCCGACCTGCATCAACATCACCTGGGAACATGTCAGGAATACAGACCCTCGGGCCCACCCTGAAACCCAGGCCTCAGGTGATGCCGAGATGAGGACTCCTGCAAACGGCCCCTAGCCCAGGGCCTGGTGGGTACCAGCCACGGTTCAGTGTGGGGAGACTGTGCACACTGTCCCTGAGCAGATCCGGGACCCCACTGGCCTCCAGACACCGGGTGCAGAGAGGTGGGGGCTGGGGCGGCACGCAGGGCTTGGGACCCTCTCCTCTCTGCTTGTGTGTCTGAGGATGCTGCAATCCAGAGTGCAGCCAGAGCTGGTGTTTACAGTTCCCACGACAGCCCGACCCCAGGCAAGTCACAGAAGCTACAGGGCTGAGGCTCAGGTGGCGCCCCACACCCACTCCAGCTGGCCCCTAGGACAAGGACGCTGTGAGCAGAAGGTGCCAGGAAAGCTCGCTCAGCCCAAGGCTGACCTGCCATCCCTGCACCCCAGGCTCCCCCGTTGCCAGGCAGAAAGCAGGGCCAGGGCCCAGTGGGAGCTCAGGCGGGGCGGGGACACACCCTGGGTCTCTGTGGCAGCATGTGGTTGAGGGACAGAGATGGGACAAACCTCTCCCCAGCTTAGAGCCCACCACATGGGGCAGCCACTTGGAGCCCCAAGGGCTGTGCAGCCTGGGTGTCCCCTCACTGGGCACAGTGGCTGGTCTGGCTTTGCCACAATCCCTGTCACCTCTCTCTGCTCGCCATCACCACAAACAAGAGCTGCACAGAAACCACGTCGACTGAGGGGCAGTAGACGCAGAGTCGCCGTCTGTCCCCCCTCCTCCCTCTTGGGTGCCTTGGCCCTGCCCAGAGGCGATGCTGCCGCAGCGTCAGGCCCAGCACTGGACTCAGCCCCATCAAGCACGGTCCCACAAGGCATTGTCCCTGTCACACCCAAGCCACTTAGCTGAGGGGAAACTGAGATGTGGCCAAGTGACTACTCGACTGCAGGGTCTGCCTCTCTACCAAACACCCTGGTGGCACCCCCACCTTGGGGGCTCTGCACGGAGCTGTCCCTCAGGAATGTCCTGACCCGGAGACCCCAGAGGTCACAAATGCCACTGCAGGGTCTGCCTCTCTACCAAACACCCTGGTGGCACCCCCACCTTGGGGGCTCTGCACAGAGCTGTCCCTCAGGAATGTCCTGACCCGGAGACCCCAGAGGTCACAAATGCCCCACGGTGCTGGCCTGCGGCAGGCAGCCTGCCAGCCCCTTCCCTGCTGGAGGTGCCTTTGTGCCTGTGGCCCTGCTGCCAACCCCGTGTGGAGGAAGCCCGTGGGGCTGGTGGAAGGGCTCTCAAGACCCTCAACAGCACAAGATGAAAACCAAAAACAGCCAAGAGACACAAGAGCGAGTCTCCTGCGCTCACGTCAGAAGGACTTGTGCCCCAAGACACTGCAGAGGAAGGAGAGGCTGGGAAGGTCCAGGTCAGGGCTGCACTGGTTCCGTGGGGCTGCATGTGCCCCAACACCCACGGAAGGATGTGAAGGCCACGTCCAGGCCCTTGCTCACGGCTGAAGGCCCCGACCTGGACGGCAGGAGGGGAGGGTGAGAGTGGGCAAGGGCCTGAGGTCACGGTGGCAGGGCGTGCAGCTCACTGCCTGGGGAGGAGGCTTTGCTGGCCTCTGCAGACCTGGACTCCCGACCACCTGCCCACCTGTGCTGCCACCTCCAGTGTGGGGCCGGTGGCACTGCTGAAGGGGCGCACAGGAGGAACATGAACAGCAGGCCCTGGGGCTCTGAGGCACGGCCAGGGCACTGGACCTCCTCACCCAACACGGCTGCTCTGGCCAGCGCCTTTCCCGGGGCGGACACCAGGTCACCTTTGGCCAGCATGGAGAACTCTCAGACTCAGGCCAGCAAGGTCCCCTGCCCAGGAGGCAGCTCTCACTGCAGCAACACCCCTGCTCTGGCCATGAGTGCCCGATGCCAGCCATAGGAGGAGCCCCTCAGGTGCCCACGGCCACATGGCTTGACCTGGAGGCCCCTCTCCCTTGGCTCTGAGGACCCACCAGATGCTGCTCCCCAGGCACCCCCCATCCTGGCCCCTTCATCCAAGTGAGGGGCTGCCCAGCAGCTCTGGGGTCACCCGCAGGCTCCCAGCCAAGCCTTCCCTCAGAGGCCACATTCCTGGCGAGGCAGGCTCCCCGCTCCTGCACACCGCCCACGGCTCCTAGCCTCGCCTGACGTGCAGCCGCCCCCGGCTGCGTCATCAGCCACACAGGCGGCTGTCCAGGCTGTCCTCCCGCCTCTGCTGCAGGCCGGGAAGGCCAGCCCTGCCCTCCAGGACCCTAGGGCCCAGCCTGAGCCCAAAGTGGGTGGTGATGGCATGAGGGCCCAGGGCGCCTCCAGGGACTGTCCCAAGGGGCCCAGGACTCCTGTCCTCCCACCCCACAGCCCAAACCTCCACTGCAACCAGTCCAAAATTGTCTGTTCACCCTTAGCCAGGCCCACAAGAATGCCATGGCCACCCAGGGGAGGGAGCTCTGTCCTCACAGGCCTCCACCCCCAGGGCAGACAGGACTGCACCTCGGCCCAAGGGCCTGGTGCCTGCTCTACACGCAGCAACCTATGTGGCCCTCACCATCTGCCTGAGGAGGAAACTCAGACCCAGTCCACTGCCTAGGACCCTGGGCCCCCAGGGCCTGAAGCAGACCAGCCTGGGAAGCCAGAGATGGCCCTGGAAGGAAAGGGGGAGTTTTTTTAACAGCCAGCATTTCGGGAGCATTGTTCTGTGGGTGGGGACCTGGTTCCCAGCTGCCAGGCTCCAGAACACTGGCCCCTCAGAGGCGGCAGAGCAAGGCCTGGACCAAGCTGGCCGGGCCCTGAGAGGCAGCCGGCTGGGCACAGGCCCTGCTTTGTCCCTGTGGCCTTGGCCCCAGCCCAGCCTCCATCTTGTCCAGAGCCCAAGGCAGCTGGCTTGGGCAGCCCGGCCCGGCTGGCATCCCTGGGGTGAGGCCCGGGTGGCTCCACCACCCCAGGCCCACCACCCACTGCAGTGTGTTCTGACTCACCAGCCAGCCCCGCAGGTGAAGGCGGGCTGACTAGGCCAGAGTGCTGTTCCCTCCCTGCAGAGTGTAGGACAGCACGAGGGACCACCCAGACCAGAGGAGGCCAGGAGGTCCCTCCCCTCCCATGCGACCCCCAGGTGGGCCCTGACTCATGCTGGCATGCTGTCCTCCCACCTTACACTGTGTAGATGGTGTCTCAGAGTCCCTCAGCCACTGAGTGGCCAGAGCCCAGGCGGGCAGTGCAGTGCCTTGGGGCCAGTGGCACAGAACCCATTAGGCTCCACAGTGGCTGCAGGGCACAGCCCACACAGGTGGGAGCGGGCGGGGGTGGTCCCAGTGGCCGGCCTGCCTTCTCCGTCAGAGCCAGTCCCCAGCGGGGCGCTCGCTTCAGACACAACCTGACCCTCTCAGGTGCTCAGAGAAGCTGGTCTGTGCCATGAGGCCTTGGAGGCACAGGTGTCCCCCAAACTAGAGCCACCAGGTGACCGCAAAGGTGCCCTTGTTACTGCTCCTCCAGAGTGAAAGCTACAGACCTCCAGCACAGGGCTCCCACCTCTGAGGGAGGGTGGGGACATGCTGCCGCCTAGACCCCCACCCCAGGTCACCCCCCAGAAAAGAGCAGGAGGGGCATCCTGCAGTGCAGCCCTTCCAGCCCCACGCTGTCCTCAAGGTGGCTGGTTGGGAAGAGGGGCCTGGAGGTGGGGGTGCACAAGGACCACACCCCCTGCCAGCCACCAGGGCTGGGGCGGGACCTGGAGCCCCTGAGAGCCTTAGTCCTGGGTAGGCGGCATAGTCCGCGGTAGCCCCAGAGGCTTCCACCTCTGGACAGAGCCTGGGGTCAGTGGGGAGGGCAGCCAAGCTTCACAGCACAGGAAAGCAGGCTGGGCCCTGCCTCCACCACACTCCCTGACCACTCTAGACACGACTCCCCACGTGCACAGATTGTGGGGCAGAGATGGAGCCACAGATGACTCCGAAGCCCTTCCTGGCACAGCCTGCACTGTGCTGGGGTCTGGGGGTTGTGGGCCGTGGTGCTCCCACATGGAGGAAATCCATGGTCAGGGCTAAGTTCTGCCTAAAGTGTGTCACCTCTGTGATGGCCCATGCTGTGCCTTCTGCCCGGCATACCTTATCCAGTACGAGTGGCCCCTGGCCCCTGCAGAGCCCTTCCCCGTGATGAGGCAGTGGGACCCCTATGAACAGGGATGCGCAGACACATGCTGAGGGGCTTAAAGCCACAGCAGGCTGGACAGGACAGGGGTCCTAGGGCTTCCCCCACTTCCACGATCCTCCCATCCCCACCCGGGAGCACCACCTGTCCAAGGTGTGCCCACTCACCACGTGGGACCTCTGTGCCGGGCTGCCCAACAGGGACAGGCCAACCGAGGCCAGACCTCAGCCCAGAAGGGGGGTTCCCTCAGGGAGGGTCTGCACTGTGGGGAGAAGGCTGGGGGGGTCGTCCTGAGGCCTCTGCCTGGTGCAGTCACTGGTAGGGGAGCCAAGACACTGCACGGGCCTTTCCAACTACCTCACAGGGCTCTGGGCTCCTCCAGAGGCTGCGCCAGGGTCGGGAAAGACCAACAGGTGGGAGAGTTGCCCATCGTGCCCAGCTCCCCAGAACTCCGCACAGGACTTCACTTGACATCAAGGTCCTGATATGTGAACTTGTGAAAACCAGCTCTGTGCAGTGAGCACATGGTGGGCTCCTGTTCCATCCCACCCCTGAAACACCTGCACCCTAGGAGGCCCTGAAGGTCCCCACCCCCAGTTTTCAGTGGCCAGAAACCAACACTTTAGCTTCGGTTGGTGCCTGGGCTCGGACACTCTGGTGGTCAGAGGTGACACCCGAGGCCACTGAGGGGAGCTGTACAGAGGACACTCCTGGACAGAAGGGAGATGAGTACACAACCACAGCTCCACCACCCTGTGCGGAGGCCAGACGCCCCCATAAAGTGATAGCACTGACCTGCTGGGCCCAGCGCCACACAGGTCAGACCGAGAGGTGCAGCAGAGGGCGGGCTGTGCCCTGCCGGGCCCTAGAAGGGTGGCTGAAAAGCTCACGCCACACCTGAGCCTCAGTCACACCGGACGTGTCCTTTCCACAGCCACCTCAAGACAAGCGCCTTTTGTTTTGAGCGATGTGGGCAGAGGGGAAGCCAAGAAGAACAGGGAGGGTTGAAATGAACATGTCGTTGGTGCACAGTCAAGGAGAGGTGGGCTGGAGTGGAGGGTTATGCCAGGCGGTCTCAGCGCACCGTGGCCTCCCCAGCTCCCCTGCAGCCAGGCCATGGCCAGATCCCAGCAGGAGGAGCATTCTCCACAGCAGGATCAGAATGTCCAGCCCCACGTTCTCCCACCAAGGGCTCCTGGCAGGAAGCCTACCTCCCTCTCTGGAGTAAAGGACAGGCTTGGGATCTGGCAACTCTCCAGGCCTGGAGCACACACATTCGGGGTCCCACACCCACCAAACTTGAGACAACCCTGCAGCAGCAGGAACGGAAAGACAGGCACCACGGGACAGCCTTCTGGGCAGCAAGCTTACACTGTGCCCATCTGAGCTCAGAGAGGGGCCTGGCTCCTGAGCGCCCAGCACGGAGGCTGCTTTGAGCGCCCCTCGGAGCTGTTTTCTAAGTACCATGCTGCAGCGCAGGTTGACACACACGCACGCACGGCGCATCCTTTCGTATTCATTACTGTTAATTACAGTGGAAACCTCCTGCAATTAACCCCATGACAGTGTAGCTCAGTGAGGGGTACGGAGACCAGCCCGGACCCACGGAGGCCGGCGCGCGGCCCTGCCTGTAACTCACTGTTGTCACCACTTATGCGCTGGTGTTTCCTTATAATAGCATTTTACTGGTATGATAACTGGATTATTTCACCGCCTCCCGCATTGTGCTGCCCTGCGCCCTTCCCTCACCGAGGATTTCACAAACCATGGCTGTCCTTCCCAGGAAACATATTTTGAACTCAGTTAAACGCCGGCTGTCTGGCCACCTCACCAGCCCTACCCACAGCCCTGCCCGGCAGCCAGGGGCCCCTTGGTGCAGGTCGGTGTGGGGGTGGCCCAGGTGCAGGGGTCGTCTGTCTACCCCAGCGTTGGCCCAGACACCTTCCTGTGCTCTGCTGGTCACATCACAGCCGCGGGCTCCCAGCCCGGCCTGCCCCACTTTCCTTCCCAAACACCCCCCCAGCGGAGCGGCCTCCTGAGCCCCCAGCCTGCACCTGCACCCTCCTCGGACGGGAAGGGCTGAGCGGTCAGTGCCAGTAAGACCTCGGGGCGTCCAGGACACATGCCGGTCCTGGGAGATGGAAGAAAATGGCTGAGTCCGGCCCCGACAAAAGGGGCTCTGGATGCGCCTGGCCGAGCAGATGAGGGGCTGGCCGAGCCCAGTGGGGCTGGGGAACGGTGGCCTAATGCAAGGGTAGCTGTGGTCACCGCGGGCCTGGGGCGGGCCTCCTGGGACCTAAGCGGCCCTCCGGAAAGGC